AGACATCAGAGTGAATTAACGTAAATGGAGTAGTACACTTGTTCGTACTCAACGGGTAGGGCACACGGTGACTCTTAGCCAAAATACAAGTATCACATGTGAAGTCGGAGTCCTTGAAACCTGAGAATAAATCTGGTATAAGATGCTTCATATAACTAAAAGACGGATGTCCCAATCGACGGTGCCACAACCAAATTTGCTTTTGTTTGCTATCAAAGGGATGCGTCACACTGTTAGCCATGCCAGGACTGAAGTCATCGACATAATATAGCCCCCCTCTCTTAGTACCACGACCAAGAATCTCCTTAGTGTGAATATCCTGAAGCAAACAAAAACTCGGGTAAATGAGTACACAACAATTCAATTGTTCAGTAAGCTGACTAACGGACAACAATTTAGTAGATAAAGATGGAACAAGTAAAGTATTAGACAGTGTGAGAGAGGATGAGAGTGCAACAGTGCCAGCCCCTGTCACAGGATAAGTAACGCCATTGGCATTTGCAATACAGGTTCGTCGAGGTTGTGTAGTATTCAGAAAATCATCAGGATCAAACGTCATATGATCAGTTGCACCGGAATCAATTATCCAACTCCTGGAATCAATCTTATCGGAAGTATGGAATCCATAACCAGTACCATTACTGGTCGAATTGCATTGTCCTCGATCTTTAAGAGTAGCCCACCAATCGGGGTAGCCATGCAATTTAAAACAAGTCTCACGATGTGGAGCAGAAGATGCATAGGATACAGGTAGAGTAGGAATTCGGATCGGGATCTGAGCCTGAGTTGGGGCTGGAGTCGAAGTCGAAATCGGGATCGAGGTCTGAATCATAGACAAATTCGGGGTTGTGGTCATCATCGGAGTTGGGGTCGAGGTCGTCTTCGGAGTCGGGGTCGGGGTCGTCGTCGTCATAGTCGAGGTCGGGGTTAGGGTCATTAAAATAGGATCCTGATTCCGGATCGGGTTCGGGGTCATCAAAATAGGATCCTGATTCAGGATCAAATTCGGGGCCAAAGTCTGCATCTGTAAGAGCTGAGCCATTTGGGCACTCAATTAGCTATGGTTGGTTGAGAAGGAGAGAAGGAGTCGGTGGTGCTACCTCTATGAGGGTTGAAAAAATCATCAACCCCCATAGCGGCGGCGGGGGTTTGAAACTAGAGTCAGCAATTCCAAGATCGCCGCTCTGATACCATGCTAAAATATGAAAACTATGAGAGAATATTTGTCACACCCCAATTATTTTTTTTTATTTTGTTATTATTTGGGAATGTGAGGTAAAAGAAAAACTAAAACTAAAAATTTAATTACAAAGAAACATGAAGATTGAACATAAACTTCCATTTAAGTCAAAGTAATTTACATTGTATTATT